TTTTTTTTATGGATAATTTTTCTTCATTCAATCTTTTTAAATAACTTCATAATTAAATTTTTTGAACAATTTGACCCAAAAAAATTGAAATTCCACAAATATAATTTGACCTAGATTAATTTAAAATATTGTTTTGACCATTGGATTTAAGTTTCAGTTGTTGGATTTTTTTTTTTACTATTAAAATAGTTTAGATTTAATCTAGATCGTTGATTTAAGTTACATTTAGAATATAAATAAATAATAAAAAAACCAAATAGCAACAGCAGCTTGACAAGTGGCGAGACAAGCAGACAAACTTGAACAGCACAGCAGGTCAACTGGGGCCATGTCAGATTCTATGCACATGGGGTTGTTTTAGGTGCAGTGGGCTCCATTGAATAGTGTTGGGTCCAGGCAATACTTGGACCCATATTTGGTTTCAAATTTGAGTTTTCCCAAATTTTGGGTCCTTCATTTTGTTGGGTTGGGGGAGGTTTGAGGCAATATTTTGGGTTTGGGTCCTTGCATTAGAGATGGCCTTACCCAGTCCAATTTTATCACCCAAGACAAAAAATAAATAAAAATAAAAACAAACAGAACAAACAAAAGAAGATTCTCTCCTCTCTCTGAGTCAGCCCGTGACTCTCCCTCTCCCCCTCTTCACATGCCCAACTCTCTTCATTCTCTTCATTTCTTTTTCTTTCTCTTATTTAGCTTCTTATTTTTCTTCTAATCTTTTTTTTATTTTAATACAAAATAGTAGGAAACCTACAGAGAAAAGCCTCTACAAACATCAACGAGTAAGCCAATGCGGGATTACCATAATGGTTGTGGCCCTTTCCTTCCCTCTGCTTGGCACCCATAATCGAAACCCAAGGTTTCTTTGCTCCTAATGTAACCAAAAACCATTCACGAGTAGAGCAGGTAAAACTTGTACAGGCCTCTCTAAAAACATGTTGATAATAAATAATCTCACAATATCGGCTCAGCATATGAATATTCTCCAAAATAGTAGCAATTTTCCAAGGTCTGGAGCAATGTTTTTTTTAATATAAGTTGTGTTACCTAATTTATTGGTAGATATGCTTGTTATTTACAATTTGGGAAGTGTCATAAAAACAAAATAGGTTTTATTGAAATTTCAATAAAAACTTTCCGATTGAATCATGGTTCGTGCATTTCCCTAGCATTACTCGTTTTTTACCGAAGGACTGTTGATCATCAAATGGGAAACTATGACGACATTTATGGCTGGATCAATGTGTTAGTTGTTTAAATAGAAATGATTGATGTAATTTATGCTTGGCTTTTGTATAATATGCATGGAAATATTGTAATCGTCCACGATTTTTTTTATTGGTCAACTCATCGAGAAATTATAGAGTTACAGTATTACCACATCAACTTGTGATACTTTTATTCAAAATATGCGTGTCATTTGAAAAAGAAAATAATTATTCTTTTTATAGCTAGACTTTATTTATATCCACTGAAATAAAATTAGAAGGAAAAAAATATGTCCCAGCAACCCAACGCCAACCCCATGTCTTCTTCTTCCTCTGCCTGCCATCAACAATCATTAGTCACAAGTAAGCTAAATTCCTTTAGCCCAATAAATTGTTGCAACCATGAAACTTCATCATCATTGTCAATGAATAAAAGTAATTATATAATCTTAATATCTGATGGGTCTTATTGGATCCACAACCGGGACCAGCATAATACCCAACACAATCAACCTTTTCAATATCAATTTTCTGTTGGTCGATTTGTAGCTTGTCTGTGATACACCCACCTCCCATTACAACTTTCTTCACATCCAATGGCCATCTATAATTTAGAAGTCAACAAACCAGTGAGACCTTCATCAACGAGAAAATATAGATAGATCTTAGGGTAGCCATCAAAAGGTTGAAAAGCAAATTTGGCTATGATTTAAGAGAGAGAGAGAGAGAGAGAGAGAGTTGGTGATTGGGTTGGGATGGGCGATTGCTCGTCTCTTGTTTTTTCTGATTTTGTTATTTTATTTTAAATGGTAAAAATTAAATTCCAATTCCAGCTGTAAAATAAAGTGTGAGTGAGTTGTTTAACACATGGCATATTTTGAGGAGAAATATCACTAGCTGAAGTGTGTGGTGATATCATACTATTTCTCCAAGTCGTTGTCCATGATGGAACAACACAATCTTCTAAACAGTGCCCTTTTAAAGTTGTACCTGTCTGGTAGGGTACTTGGGACTTGGCTCTTTTCACAGTATGAAGGCGTAACTTTAGAATGGTAGAAGAATATTCAGAGTCAGTAACTTCTGACTGAGCTGAGAGATACCCATAAAAAAAATAAGAAATACTTACATAAAACAGAGATAACACTATTTTGCTATTTCCATCAATCAAGGTATGTTATGAATGATAATTTTTCCACATGGCAAACTGTGATTGGTCGGAAATAGCAAAACAATGTTATCTATGTTTCATACGAGTTTTTCAGCCATAAAAGATGAGCTGAGCAAAAGTAAAGAATTAAGGTCATTATACTCAGAGTCAGTTCTGAAGAAATGGTAACTGGAAATTGGAATCCAGTTTCTGGTTTCCAATCTGCTGGTGGAATCAGTATTTGCATTGCATGCTGCTGGGTGCTCTCCTCCAGAAGCTTCCTTCCTTCCAGCATATATAGATAATAGCTCTAGAAAAGTAAATAACCCTTGTTAGCTGATGAGCCAATCTACCAAGTTCTGCAGAATTTGTAGGCTCTTCCTTTCTTTTATTTCTTTTTTCTTTTGTTGTGAACTGAATAGAAACTTCATATATTAACTTTCTTTTTTCTTCTTTGCTTCCATTTAATGTGTGGCTGTGAGTTTTCTGGCCAATAAATAATACTACATACAAACTGTTTGATTTGCCTCCTTGTGTTTTACTGTTTGTTAGTTAGTTAGTCTCTGCATTTCTGAAATTACAGCTACAATAATAATAATAATAATGATAATGCCAGTTTGATTTAGTTTTAATACCATTAAAATGTAATTTAGTCAACCTGGTAATGACTTACTATCGGAGAAAAAAACCAATTACTCTCATGTCAATGTCATCCCCAACTTGTAATTTGTTACACGGAGGATTGCAACCCAGGCAGACATGGGATTTGGAAATCCTTTTCAATGGTAGCATGTTTGGGAGGTCTGAGCAACGAGGAAGTTTCCTTGAAGTTTTTGGAGAATTTAAGAAGAAATAAAAAAGCATAATGGTGTCTTCACAACACAAATCTTCACCTCTTCTTATTCCGCGACTCTGTCTGTCCTCCGGAGAATTGGAACCATGTTGTGTCCGACTCCTCCTCAGCAGCAGCAACCTCAATCTCTGCAAAACATGGCACGCAGCCAGTCCTTGTGTCTTCAACAATCTCAGTCTCACCGGACTTCACAACGCTGCCGCTCTTTAAACTACAAATCAGGTGTTTTTTTTGTTTTTCACCTCTAAATTTCAATTTAAAGGTCCAAATTAGGTCCTCATACATTAGACTAGCCGCTCAAAATTTAGCAAGAATTGAATTATTTTTCCCTTTTTGATATTTAGAGGTAGAGATTACTGTTTGGAGTTTGATCTCAACTGTTCCTTCCTTCCAAGTTTGTGGATGCGATTAAGGTTGTTCATTGCGATTTTGAACCCCAAAGGCAGCACAAGACCACGGGCTTGTGCTTATTGGCCTGAGAAAAGGCCCTTGCTTAGGAGATATCCTCTCTTTCTTGTTGGTTGAGCCTGATCTACGACCACCCTCTCCTCTGACATTGGAGTCTGCTTCTTCTTTTTTTCTTTTGTTGGCTGTCTATACCGCACCACCCGGAGATGCACTTGAGATAGGGCAGGGAAGTTTGTGTAGTGGGTGGTGGTGATTGGTGTGAGAACATAGTACTATAACTAGTGAACTTTTATATACAATAGGCTTACATCAAGGGTTGACCTTAAGCCCTTGTATTTTTTTCCTTGGCTATGGACGACTGTTATGTTATTCGCATATGACATTGTGTTAGTTGATAACACCAAATTAGGGTTAATTGTTAAGCTTAGAAGCATGGAGGACTAGTTTAGAATCTAATATGTTATGTTATGCAAGAAAAAGCACTTGGTATATGGAGTAACTTAGCACAACTAGGAGTTGACAAGAAGACACAGCAAAGATTGATGACCGCATGATCCCTAAGAGTGAGCATTTTTGGTACTTCAAAGTTTGACTGTCCATAATGAAGGAGAGATTGAAGTTTCATGGACGTTAGTAGTGAACTGCTTTTGAATTTTTGTATCACTGTAATATTGATGCTAAGTTGAAGATAATTTTTTATGGGACGGCTGTAAGGCGAGCTATGTTCTATGGTTCAGAATTTTGGGCCATCAAACAGCATGTTTCTAAAATAGTAAGTGTAGTTGTGATCTGGGGATGTTAAGATGGATATGTAGCGGCACTAGGAGGCACATGATAAGAAATGAGAAAATCTTAAGTAGGTGGAAATAGTTTGCATAAAGGCGGAGTTGAGCTGAGCTTAGCATTTGTACTTTGGTGCAGAAGAATTACCCTAGCAAATTTGTATAATTGTTTGCAAAATTCGTCCATGTATTTTCAGATTACAGGACTTACTCCTCTCCCCCAACCCTGTATATTGTAGGAAAAGATGCAGATTACAGTCCGGATTTCTCAAAAGCCACATTTGAATTTATGATCAAAGGTCAGTTTCCTTGAAATCAAGATGAGCAGAAGTGTGGTTTTTTTTTTCTCTCTCTCTTTTTATTGAGTTATTTGTATACATGATTTTTATTCATTGAGTAGTTTGGTTGTGCAGGATTAAATAGTTTGAACATTAAGAAGAACCTCAGCAGGTTGCCTTTGCTTAACAAAAGTTCCCATGATGACAACAGCAACCATTACAAGCAACAATACCAGACTACGGTAATCATGATAAAATCATTTTTGTTTCATATTTTTATACTTCTTTGAACCATTTTTATAATTTCAGGGATCTGATGATTCCAACCCCACCGAGTCGCTTTTATTGAGCGTTAGTCCCCACGCTGCTGACACTGACCAAGACGAGCCGGGTAATGTAACAAGGATAGTGGTAAAGACTCATAGCCTTAATTAAACCATTTTTTTTCTCATACATTCTTGCAACAACTTGAACTTATTTTCAGTTTCAGGGCTCTGTAGATTCTGATCCGAGTGTGTCTCCTTTACCTTGCATTAGTACCCAAGCTGATACTGTCTATGATGGGCTAGACAGTGCGGTAAGGATAATGGTCAAAGGCCATAACAATAACAAAACCAAACTTTTAACTTTGACATTATCTTGCAACACTTTTATAGTTCCAGTTGAACTTATTTGCTCAGGGATCTGATGACTCCAACCTCAATGAGTCGCTTTTACCAAGCAGTAGTCCTCGCATTAGCACCAACTATGACGAACCGGGCAATCTGGTAAGTGAAGTGGTAAAAACTCATGACCATAATCAACTCCCTCTTTTCACTATTTCTTGTGCGATAAGCAGTTTTATGATTTTAATTTAACTTGTGAATAGTTATAAGGCTCTTACAGTTCATAATGGCAGGGCCCTTCTGGTTCAAATCCTAGTGAGTCTGCAGCAATTAACATCGGTTCGCAGGATGAACATAATGATGTTGGCCAGCCACATCACCGGACAAGGGTGATGCTCAAACCTTATACTCATATTAAACTATAGCATTTTGTTAATGTCTCTTGTGAGGTTTATTTGGCACCCATTTTAATTTCAAACTTAAGTGATTATAACTTCTATGTAGGTAACTGCCTTAGAGTTGACCTTTATGCTCGTTGGTTTCAACCTAGAAATGTTGTCAGCCGGTTTCGATCAGGTTTCCTCCACAAGTAAGCCTCTTTATGCACTAATTAGTTTGCTGTTGGCCATAGCGGCTGTGCTTACTTGCATCCTGGAGCTCATTCACAATGGTATAAAGCACAAAGATGCTTCTCCGAATAGACCTGTTTTTGGTACGTTGCCTGACATTTTCGGATTGGGACTTGCCGTGATTCAATGTGTTTGCTCGGCAGTGCAGTATTATTTCCTCCATCATCATCATAGTAATCCAATGAAACTGTCCCCTGTGCCTCTCTTTTTCTTCACATGTTTGGTGGTTTTGAAATTAAAAGGGAACTAGGGCCACACTGTTTATATATTCAGACGCTAAAGCTTATGACAGTAGGCAATATGTTTCATGAGTTCTGTATACGTATCGATTACGAATGCAAAATAGGAAGCATGAGAAGTATTTATCTACTTTGTTCCCTGGATCTATGCATACTTCTGGAGATTTCACTTTATTGTGTTTGTGTATGTTCTGATGAGTTTGTCTTCCTCTCTGTTAGGCTTTCTTGTGATTTGTTCTGTTTGGCTTTTAGAGCATCTCCAACCGATATGTCAAAAGTGCCACATAGACATTTAACAGCTAGAAATAACATCTCACATCACTCCAACCGAATTGTCAAAGCTGATGTGGAATGAAGGTTGGAGGTTTAGCTGTTATTTTTGACATACCAAAAACAAGATGTCAAATGAATATTTTATTATTTTTTAAAGATAGCTGTCTGCTACTTTCATTTATTATTTTCCTTTTTTATTTTTTTTTCTTCTTTATCTTGAATGATTTGACTGTTACAATAATTATTTATTTGACATATCGGGTGGAGTGTAAAACTGTGTAAATATCAAATTGCCACATCAGCCATCAAATTTAAATTTGATGGCTAATGTGGCAATTTGACATCTTATACAGTTTTACACTCCACCCAATATGTCAAATTAAATTATTATTTTATTACATTTCAGTGTTGATTTATTTACTACTTCTTAGAATATAATTTTTATATTTTTAATTAAAAGGAAAATAAAATACTAAAAGACAATCAATTAATTGAAAAAGAAAATACTACAAGAAAATCAATTCATTGAAATATAATTCACAATTCACCACCTTGAAGAATTTTCATTCTAAGTTGAGAATAATATCTATGGGAGTTCTTTGAGTAGAAGATGATGAGAAACTAGTGAAGTTAGATTCGTTTTCATGCTTCTTACTCATTGATTCTTGCGTTTGTAACCACTTTGGTTGGTAGCTCAATTCACTGTAAGGAAAAGAATTTTTTTTGGTATAAAAGAAGAACTGTGTTTGAGCACAAGTTCTTATATTTATTTATATATATATATATATATATGAGGGCGGATCCGTG